CACATCAAACGTCCCGCACGCCAAGCAGAAGCGGTACTCTCGAATTCCGCTTTTGCGAAGCGACGCTGGCGATCAGCGTCCGACCCAGGAGCAGCAGCTGCACCAAGACCCGCACCGACCGCCACCGCGGCTCCCGCGCCATCAGCAGCATGCGGGCCGACCACGTGCGAACCCGCGCCCCCACCTTGGTTGTTCAGCAACTGCTGCAGGGATTGCTCCAAAGCCGATACTTTCGCAACGAGATTCTCGTTATCTTGCTGCAACATCACAAGCTGCAACGCACGCGGCGCCCCCGACGCCGCACCGGCACCCAGGTTGTTCCCCCCGGCCATCGTAGACGACCCACCGAGGCCCTCCACGGATAAACCAGCCATGCCGTCGGCCAGCCGTGCCTCGTCCCCGCCGACCGCCGACCCCGCCGCGGCTGCGGCCCCAGCTGCCGCTTCTTGCTGCTGACGTTGAAGTTGCTGCTGCTGCCGCTGCTGTTGCGGCTGCTGCTGCGGCGGCTGCTGTTGCTGCGGCGGCGGGTTCTGCTGGTCCTGGGCTGCCAATGCCATTGCGGCAGCCGCGCCCGCCACAGTGGCGGAGGGAGGGACACCGCCACCACCGCTGCTGCCGCCGCCGTCGGTGATCGAGGCATCCACCGACGTACGGATACCGTCGGCAGGCCCTTTTCCGAGATTTGGATGCGAATCCATGTCGCCCCGAACACAGGGGAAACGTAGACGCGAAACTTCTCCCGTCCAATACGTCACGCCACGAAACGTCACGTGCCAAAAAGAAACGTCACAGCAGAAAACAACCCTTGGCCACCACACGCACACGTGCTCTCGCTCGCCCCCGGTAAACACGGCGAAGCGAGTACAGACTGAAAACAGAACACCAACACGCTCGTCCGCTTCCTGCTTTCTGATTGGCCAAGGTTTATTTCTGCCGCTTCTCACAAAAAGCAGATTTCCTTTTCTTCGTCAGACAATCTTTCGCTTAAGAAACTACTGCCCCACGTCTGGGGTGCGTCTGCTGTGGCTGCCCCCCCTACATCTGGGGGCGCGTACATATGCCCCTCCCAACTGTTAGATATTTGCGCTACCCCCCCTACATCTGGGGGTGCGTGTTAGTACCCTCCCCTACATCTGGAGAGCACACCTTCGAAAATTTTCCGCTACCCCCCCTACATCTGGGGGTGCGTGTTAGTACCCTCCCCTACATCTGGAGAGCACACCTTCGAAAATTTTCCGCTACCCCCCCTACATCTGGGGGTGCGTGTTGGTACCCTCTCCTACATCTGGAGAGCACACCATCGAAATTTTGCGCTCCTCCCCCTACATCTGGGGGCACGTCTTAGTACCTTTCCCTACATCTGGAAAGCACACTTTTAAGAACTCGCGTCGCTACCCCCTACATCTGGGAGCGTGGAGTGTTGGGGGCTGGGTCTGGTGGGTTCCCTACCTTACAAGGCCTCACTCTCATCTAGCTTATCCTCCGGGAAAAAGACCGCCATAACCGCTCGGGTATATCATCGAATGAAGACGAACTACAGTTGTTGCTCAACAAAACACGGTATCATTCGTCACAGGCAAGGTCACTCAAGAAATTACTCATGAATCAACCAGAAATGAAGTGTCCGCGGCAACGCCGCGCTAGCCCTCTTTCAAAAACACAGCAGTATCGCGCGGTTTGCTCGTCTGCCACAAGTCGACATTAACCAGAATCGCCATGAATGCAACACTCCAGCTGTCTCGGACCGAGTACTTTTCCCGCGATCAACAGGCTCGTGTGTTGTGCCACCCGCTACTCCACCGCTGACACCGCCGCTGTCCCGAACGCCAGGGCCCACAGTTTGATCGGTTTCCGAGGGCTCTTTTCTCGAACGGTCGGTGCGATACCTGTTCTTTTCTTTCTATCATTTTGTTTTCTTGTTCCGAGTGGTTTGTACCCTTTTTTTGTTTGTTTACCCGCGGCGTCGTATGTGCCGGGTTTTGAGACCATGGGCTCCCCATTTTTTGTGGACTATAGAGCTAATGTGAGAAACAACAACAACAAGTCTCGGGTAGGTTCCCTGCGGCGGAACTCCTCCCGGTTCCCTCCTGGATTTGCTCCATCCTCGCCTCGGCCCTGGTCTGCTTCTCCTCAAAGCATTCTGTCAACACCCGCTTAACATCTCCAAGTTCAGCGGCGAGCTCCTGCTGCGAGACTCCTCCCGACATGTTGCTGGCACGGGCTCTTTCGCTTCCTTGCAAGGACGATGGAGAAAGCTAACTCTAGAGTGTTGATAACTCCTAGAGCCGGAGTCTTATTATGCCGGGTATGCCCGTTTTTGTGTCCAGTGACTAGAAGATGGCTTGTATTGTAGATCCGCAGGACTATCGCACGATAGACAGGGGAGAAAGCGAATGCCCCACGCAGGCTGACGCCAGGAGGGCACGGGGATTGCAATCCCATACACCTATGCTAATAAATCACGATAAGGCGAAATCCTGGGGGAGGGGGGGGGGGGGGGGGGGGG